ATGCTGCTAGTTTAGGTAGGGTACTCTGAGCCTCGACCTGTTGTATGCTCTTGTTCGATGCGGTTTTGCTTCGGTTGTGCCCATGAATGGCACGAGCCTGTCAATTGTCGTCTCTTGAAGCTATGGTTGAAGAAATGCAGCGACGATTCTGAAACGAGTAACTGGATCAATGCTAACACGAAAGAGTGCCCAAAGTGCCAGGTGCTTTGCATTAACAGTAGGTGAAGGCTCTTCCGTTTAACTTTTAATTTAGGTGACAATTGAAAAAGATGGGGGATGCAACCACATGGTTTGCAAAAACACTGCTTGTCGAATGGAATTTTGCTGGATTTGTTTGGGTCCGTGGGAACCACACGGTAGCAGCTGGTACAACTGCAACAGGTATCTAGCTTTGGATTCATGAAATTACCAATTTTTCCTTCTATTTAATTGCAACTTTTTCTAGGTATGATGATTCACGTGCCAAACAAGCGCGTGACGCTCAAGAACTCTCTCGCGCTAATCTTCAGCGTTATCTTCATTACTACAACCGTTTCATGAACCATCAGCAGAGTTTAAAATTAGAAAATAAGGTGCGTTCTGTTTCGAGTTTTCTTATTTACTTGTTATGGCGAATATGTCGATATGAGGCTGAAACCTCCGATTCGAGCATTTTCAACCTCTTTCGAGCACTAACCTATTAGGTCATCCCATTCAAAAGTGCCGATGGTTTTATTCGAATAAAACAAAGAGGAGAATAGATAGAGAAGTGATATTTTGGCTTTGAGTTAAGTAGATCTCTCCTTCACCAATGACCCGCTCCCAGTGCCCCGAAAGCCTTTGGACCTCTGGTACCTTCGATTTTTCAACAAGTGCGAGTAAATTGCTGTTGATGCCAATTTCGGCGAATGACAAAACATTGTGCGTTGCCGTCGGAGAGTACCCTCGACTGACCAGAACAGTTGGAATCGAACGGCTTTATGCGGGCGAATGGGGCGATTGAACCCAGGTCTCAGTATTGTTTGTGTCCCAGCACTGCCCTACAATACAGTTACTCGGGGTCTGGCACTATGACGAGCAACGGTGGCCTTCTTGTGTGGTATCATCCATTTGTCGATCTGATTGCCGAGGAACAGGCAATATACACCGACAGCGACGATTTTATTCTCTGTATAGAGCCGCCTGAAAGCCACAGTGTGGGAATCCTTCGCTATGATGATCATCCACTTGCGCCCACGTAACTCCTCATGGTAGAACTCGGGCGGCTTCTCATCTGCATTCATACAAAATTGACGATTGTGAGTTTTGGCTCGAGGTCCAAGACCCATATTTCATCTAGGGCCGGGGTGCGTTTTCACAGTCGTGAATGACATCTCATGCTGAGAACATTACTGCTAGAGGCATAGAATCGGTACTGCGTTCGTGCTTCTATAAGAAAATTAGGTACCCATGCGCACACCCTCTTGACCATCCTCAGTTTATCGGACATAACTCGGGCAGCAGTTGCAGCAGGATGTCAGTCTCGCGGAAGCTCGACAAAGGTCCAGGCTCTGGGATCAGATATTCAGCGCTTGACTTCATCCACCCTTTTTTCCACCCATCCACGACAACAAATTTTTTCCTCTTCCTTCTTCGAGCTCCTGAACCAAATCTTCCACCTTGTATTCCGAGAACACCATTACTCACAACTACTGGTCAAATTTGAGCAGCGCACTTCCCTCTTATGACACCTGATTTGAAAATCCGGCGCTGATTTTTACCACTCAGGCTTCTTTCCAATTTCTCGAGAACTTCCTCTGTGGTAGGTTCGCCAAATTCCATAGATAATAGCTAATGGTACTAGCCTTCAAATGATATAGCCCGCTGCTATGCCCTCTGCCATTCCTCTGCATGTCTCTGCACTTTTGAATGGATGACCTAATATCTCATTATTTCAAAACCTCACCGTTCCCTCAACTCAAATATTGTACGGTTCTCACCTACACCCACCGTTTTTGATCTTGGTGCCACAATCTGCTCGGGTTAACGTAATGTCGGTGGAGAAGTTTCCGGCGTGTTGATTCTCGTGCAGTTTCTCGTGGTTTAAATGTTTGATTAGAAATTCAGGTACAAGTATAGGAGGGACCAAATCTTCCTGAGCGTTCCCTGAACACTCCTTGGCGCACATATCAGGGAAATGAATTCTCAAAAATAAGCCCAACGCGCCTACGCACTTTATGGGGAAGAGGAAGATGTTTTGCACTGGGTCCCTGACGAAATGGTTAGCCGTTGCGGCGAGTGGTGGTGTGGGCGTTGCTTATACACAGATGCAGGAGCAAGCCATTTTTGAATGAACAATGATGCGATGTTTTGTATTGTTTTAACATAGTAACTGCTGTTTAACGCCGCGTGTGCGCCCGGAAATTTATCACAAGCTCAGCATTCGGGTGATAATGATGCGATTCTTCAGTTCTGCACGATAGTTTGAAATTGATAGTCAAGTGGGTGGGCGGAGTGAGCCGACGCGAAGAAAAACTCTAAGCATTTCCAAGAAAGATCGTGATGGCCGTCCAGTGGTTCTGTTTCTCGGTTCTGGGTGTAAATCACTTCAAAGACAGCTTGATAAGTTCTCTATGGTAACCATAGTGTGGCAACCAAGGCAGAGCAAATCTCATAAGAAAGCAGGAGAGCGATGTTGTGATTCAGTGAGCGAAGAGTTTTTGGTGATTCTTTCGCAGTGACAACATTATTCGTAGACATTCAAGGTCTTCCGCGGCGCTTTTAATGTTTCTGCAGAATGTAGCTAGACTGCCACTTTTGTGGTCTTGGGAGGGCATTGCATTAGTGGGACGAATCAAATGGCAAGGAGGAGGATTTCATATATTAGGTTGTTCGAAAAGTCCTGCGACACTTTGACCAAATTTTTCGGACTAAATTTTCTGTCACTAAAAGACATCTCCAATCTACAAGGTAACCGCAGTTGATGACTAGGACTAGTGCCCTTCTTTTGCACAGCTTCTCATTTCCATTCTCATAGAACTACGGCAACTATGATAAAAAGAAGAGGTGGACCTCATTCTCGAGTTGAGGTCGATTTTCGGAATTTTTGCTTTTTAAAGGATGCGATAGGGACCAAAGGAGGTGGTAATTAGAGGCTGCTAACTTTGTTTAATAACCTGGGTACGGTCGCATTCTCTGATCGAAATCCATGATCTTTTCGAGTAGCCTTGATCACCAAAAATGGGGCGGTCCTCGCATTACCGAGTAGTAGAGAAAAATTGAGTATTTCTGAATGAATTCAAGCGTGACGTCATCCATATTTTGAAGTCGATTAAGGTGGACTGTGGTCCTTACAAAACGGTGCTAATCTCCAGTGATAGTCCCGCTTGAATTCCACAACTTCCAAATTTTCGCAACAATTCAAACCCAATTTTGCCACACAAATGAAAATTTGCCAAGCAAAGTCATGATATACCCATGTGCAGAAACCCCAGAGGACAGTCTCCACTAATCAGGGATAAAAACATCCAAAATGATTTTTGGTCTTTTTCTAGAACAATTCAATCAAAGTGTCGCAGGACTTTTCGAACAACCTAATAGTTTTCCTACAATTTCTGTGTCCTATCGAATGTGATTATTATTTGGACAGGAGCAGTCATTTTTGAGTTGGGTTGCGCTGTTGGAAAGTTGCGCGTTCGAGTTTGGCAGAAATGGCCTTATCTATTATCGCCATGATCTTTGACTGTCATGTAGCTAACATTCTCGAACACGTTCGTTACCAGCTATCAAGCCTTACTATCTCATATTAATTAGCCGGAAAGGGTAGAACTGAGGTGCTGAACCATAGGAATTTGTCCTGAAGTCTTTCTACCGAGACATAAGTCGTTCCGGAGTCGGTGATCGGCTAATCATCGTAGAAAGTTTGATGTGATGAGAACTTCCTCAAATTTGTACTGTCTATCTTGTTTAGCTCTACGCTACCGTCAAGGGAAAAATGGAGCAGATGCAGCTACAGTCGATGTCTTGGATTGAGGTTTGTTACGTTTTTCGTCCTTCTTTTTCACGATAAATCACGTTTTACTTTCAGGTCCAATTCTTGAGAAAAGCCGTGGACGTCCTTTCGGAGTGCCGTCGAACACTTATGTATACTTATGCATTTGCTTACTATCTGAAGAGAGATAACCACGCCGAAATCTTCGAAGGGAACCAGAGGGTAATTCGTTCGATCTTCTTCCATTATTATGACACGAGCTTTTTCTTGTAGGATCTCGAAATGGCTACGGAGCAACTCTCACAGTTTCTTGAACGAGATCTTGAGAATGAAAATCTAGTCACTCTTAAGCAAAAGGTATCTCATAAGTTTTATTATAACTGCAAAAGGCATTATATGTGATTGTATAAATATCGGCTAGTTCATGTGAGCAAAGAGTTAATTAAAATGCGTTTTCAGCGGTACAAGATAATTATCGTTACCGTGGATAGCCTGCGTCGTTAGTGTTATGAACATTGTCAGGAGGGCACGGAGAGAGACATTTGGCAGTACACTCAATGAGCGTACCACAGTTTCAATAGAGATCTGCTGTTTTCTTCACGTAACTTTGAACTCCTGATTTATCCGTTGCTTCTTTGGATGAGTTCTGTGCAGTTTTCCCCCTTGTATCGTCTTCCAATTTCTAGTGTTGTTTCAGTTGTTGTACATCGTTCGGGTCAAACCTTTCTCCCAAAAGCGTTCTGTCTTAGGCATTGCTGGGCGGCGCATCTTTTATATCAGATGCTAATTGCTTTATGGCAGTTGTGCCCATTCTCACATTTTTTTGTCTTGACAATATTCTTTTGATCTTTACGGTTTGCATATTGCGCACTTCTCCCAGTTCTTTGTGGAACAAACGAAGCTATTCACATGGCTTTTCTATGTGATTGCTGGTCAATTGATTAATCAAGTTCTTTCTTCGATTTTTATACCTAGGATCTTCTGCTTCTGTTACATATTAGTGAGCTGATTTGTAAATAATTTTTTTTAAGAAATCACCTCTTCACTGATCCCCGAGGGTTAATTACTTTAATATTTCCATTGCAAGTTGCCTTATATCTCTTGAAGATTGATGTATAGATGAAAGATTAAATTATGTTTCTTACGTAAAGCATTCTGAATAAAACTTCAGTAAATTTTGTTATCGTTCGCTAAAAGGTGTGCGTGTTATTCAATCACTATTTCTGTTTGAGCGCGTAATCCTTGAAGTTTGGTTGTAAATGAGGGAACTGGGATACCCTAGTTCTGAGATAAGAGCCACCATCTACCATAGCCACGTTAA